GAATATGGTGCTGAAAGTGTCCTGTGAATCCCTTGGACTGCAAGGCGATCAAACCGGTCAGTCCTAGAGGAGATTAACCCTGATTGCTGTTTAGAAGGCCAGACCCTGAAGATGAAACTCAAATACTTTGCCCACCTAATGAGAAGGAAGGGGGCAAAAGAAGGGGATGACAGAGAATGAGGTGGCTGGATGGAGTCACCGAAGCAGGCATGAGCTTAAATGGACTCCAGAGGATGGTAAAGGACAGGAAGGCCTGGAGGAACGTTGTCCATGGGGTCGCGATGGGTCGGACACGACTTCGCAACAGCAACAAACTCTCCAACCCTCTTGGAAGTGTAACGAGGTTGGGTTTGTTTGTTTTAGCACCGATTCCTCCTTTGGGCAGTGATCCACCCTGGTTAGATGCAAAACCCAACTGGAAAGACGAAACTCAAAGGACTACAAAAAAAAAAAAAAAACCCCAACCCTTTATATGGGTTTTCTTCAAAGGCCCAAGGATCTCCCGTGCAATCGCAAAAAGAAGATTCCGCGGGAGACCCCCGTTCACCGGGAAGCACGAGCGCTTTCCCGCCGCGGTCCAATGGCTTTCAGTCTCTGGCGCCGCTTGCCCCGCCTTCGGCGAGGGAGGAGCTCCGAGCCCTTCGACCGATGACGGGAGGAGCTCTCCAGCCGGGGCGGTTGGTTTTCTGGGCGCCAAGCGGCTAGCCTGGTGGCAAAACTGCGCAGCCGCGGAGGGACACTCACCGAGGCCTCGTGGGTTTCCGCGTTCTCCTCCCCGGTGTGGTCTCGTCGCGGCATGTTCTCTTTCTGCACCTCCATTTGGCGGCGGGAAAACCTCGGGCTCTTGTCTTCCTCGGGCTCCTGCAGAGGAGGGGGGGAGGGGAGAGAGAGGAGGGAAGGCGCCAACCCCTCTTTTTTTTCCCCAACCAGACAAAACACCGCACCGGATTGGGTGACGTCAGGACGCCCCTCACGCTCCTTCAATGGTGGATCGGAGGCGGGGTTCGATAGTGGGAACGCCTCCCCGCAAGGATGGGGCGGCAATGTAATGTGACGTCAGGTCCCGCCGGAAAATAACGAACGTGGCTCCTCTGAGCCGCTCTGGGAACTGAGCGAAAGGCGCGGCCTCCTAGGCTTTTACTTCTGTAATTTCGCGGGAAGGGCCAGGCCGGTTCGGGCCGAAGGGTTCCTCTCGTTCGCTGCTTTCTAAAGTCCATGCCAGGAACCGCCGATTCCGTTGCGAACGTGGCAAAATCAGATTCTTGTTAAGCGACGATTAGAGAAAGATTTTTTTTTAAAAAAAATCAGAATTTTACTCCTCAATCTTGACGTCTGGAGCGTTCACATTGGGAATTAAGGAGACAATGCTGGTCTCTGCCTCTGCAAACGTTACGCTGGAGCAATATCCGGCTTCAGCACTATATTCCTTATTAGGAAAAGATAGCATTTGGCACTTCACTAGTTAGGAAGACTAACTTAAGACTTCAATCCTGGGCACGCTTCATGCACAGAAAGGGATGAAATCTGACTGTTGTAGAAAAAATAGGAGTTCTGGGTTTCTTTTAATGCTATTGTCTGTGGTTGTCAATCATGCTGCAGTCTGGTTAAAAGTTTGGTCTCTGTCGGGATGTTTTTGAAAATCTGCTTCCTTGAATTCCTACAGTGATATTTACAGCAGGGTGCAGAAAGAAGATCTGGTTGCGTCAGTTTTCTGTTTTGGGGTTTTCTTTATAATTCTTTTGCTGGCAAGCGCTGTATTAGTAGCCGAAACAGGTCCATTTGGGGATGCTGTCGTTTCTTGCTGATTTTTCCAGATTGTCTTTTCATCTGGCAATAGATTAAAATGATCCTTGTTAACTTTGAAAGATCAGTGGATTCAAATCGATGTACACAGTACAAAAACGTCAGTATGGGTGACTTCTTGTGATAAAGAATTTATCAGGTTACTAATTTATTACTATCTGTTAACTTCAGTGTGTGAAATTTGGTGTTTTGCAGAATGGGAAAAAAATAGAATGCCAAAATAGGGACATCAAAGTATGAAACATTTAATATTTCACACATTTCTAGGTATACTATGCAATGCCAAAAGGCAAACCAAAGTATAAAATATCTTGCTAGTGACATTTTATTGTGATGTGAGGCACATGATGTCAGTGTATGAAAATGGGCATTTTGTAGAATGCCTGGGAAATTATAGAATGTAAAACATGGGACATTAAAGTATGAAATGCTTAAAATTGTGCTCCTTTCCTAAGAATTCTATGCACCATCAGTTTCTCATACTTTCATGGCTCTCATTTCATACTTTGCCTACATATGGTAAGTCTGTCACTGTATAATGCTATATACAGTATCTAGAAACAGTACATAACAGATAAACAAATAACACAGACATTCCATGCTTTGCCTACAAATACCACACATTTCCTAGGCATTCTACTGTTATACAACTATAAAGTTTTCAAAAATTCCTAATAGGGTTTTCCCAGTGAAACGAGATTCTTTTCTTATCTTCTATTATTCATTTATACCAGAGAGCTTAGCATTATTTTCATATTAGTTTTGTGCACCACAGTTTCATTTTTTAAATTTGGCATTGATCAGGCTACTAAAATGCATAGGTGAAACCTATTCTTATAGATAGATTATTTTAATAATACATACTGTCAGAACAATTTGGTGAATAAATATTACAGTACTTAAATAGTTTTTGCACTGGATTTTTATATATATATATTAACATAGCTTACCTGGTTTGAATGTTTCCTTAGAAAAAGATTTCTTCCTAATAGGCCATGGGTGTGTGTCTGGATAATGGAAGTTCTTAAAGAAAATATGAGACTACATTTTAAATGAGATTTTAAATAATACATATAATCCAAAAAAGTGAGGAGGGTTTAATACAGAATTGAAAGACTGCATTATTTATTATTGCATTATCTAGGGCACAATTAAATACAAGATCTTGCACAAAAAACAGGAAGTACTGATATATATTTGTAGTGTTTGATAATTGTCTTGTGCTTTTTCTCCTTTTGACATCTTTAGACTAAAATTGGCTTTTGAATTCATCAATTTATAATTACTTCTCAAAGAGTGTCACTTACTTTTGAATGTTTATCAAAAAGTCTGCTTTTGGCTTCAGAGTGGCCGTATAAATACCTGTAGGAAAAGCAGATAGACTGTTGGATTCAAGAAGCAATTTACAATTACTAATGGCTAAGGATTCTAAGTCTAAGGGATGTGGTGGCTTAGTGGCTAAGACACTGAATTTGTCGATCAGAAAGGTCAGCAGTTCAGCGGTTCGAATCCCTAGCGCTGCATAATGAAGTGAGCTCCCGTTACTTGTCCCAGCTTCTGCCAACCTAGCAGTTCGAAAGCATGTAAAAAATGCAAGTAGAAAAATAGGGGCCACCTTTGGTGGGAAGGTAACAACATTCCGTGAGCCTTCGGCATTTAGTCATGCCGGCCACATGACCATGGAGACATCTTTGGACAGCACTGGGCACATATGTGTGAGAGGAACCTTTACCTTTTTAAGGATTCTAAAGTTAAATAAAAAAGGAACAAGGAAAGTGGGCAACCTTGATGAGTATCATGCTGTAATTCAAATGAATCTGAAATCAGTTGATTTATTATAACTGGGTCACTGGGCTGTTGATAATAAGCTTTCATCCATTTAATAAAATTTCATTCATTACTTGCTGAAGAAAATTAATTTGGACCATATCCGAAATGCAGCAAGATCAGTTTTATTTTGAGTATGTTAACAATTTCAAATTATTCAGTATTTTTAAAATAAATCTTAAGGGAACAAATGAGGTCCACAGTTCTCTGGCCAAGAAAGCAATTACTATCTTTGTATCAGCATTAATTAATGAAATTGTTCTATAATTTGTACAGAACTATTGCAGATTTTAAAATAAAGGTTTGACATCTTAAATACTTTATGACCTTTCAGTTACCATAAAAATATTCCCTTGGGGGGGAACAATAGTTAACATTTTCTCATAAGAATCATAATATGCAGTACTTTGTTTTAAATAAAGAGTCATTTTATTGATACCTCTGGAGGTAGGAATTCACCTTGAAAGGCATATAAAGTTTCTTGCCTCCTTTTGGAAACCAATGGATGGATGTGTCAACTCCAAATCCAATGTGTCCTTGAGCTCCTGAAGAAATTGGCATCTCTGCTTCAATGAAAAATGACAGAAAATTAACAAAATCTATCCATGCAAAGCTTATTAGGCCTTTTCATCTGTTGAATTTATAAACCAGAGCAATAGTGAAATACCTTGAAGGGAGTCTTCTTTCATTTGGCCACCTTGAATGTAAATATTGTTTGTCACAGTAGCCATGGAAGCAGTACCGTGTGACCTATTCATAAAACAAGGAAGCCCTGACAAATACATTTCAATCTAGAAATCCCAAATCTATATCATTTTCCTCTTAAAATTCTTGGGAGGAAAGCCAGCCAACTGACCCTCTATATAACTCCCTCTGAATATTTTTCCTCCTAAAAACGTGCATCAGAGTGGAGTTTCATGACAACAGTGCAGTAGAAGAAAGTAGAATTTACTTGAATGGGTAATCTGTCAGCACATTTGCATTTGACTGAAGCATTGGTACATAAAGCACATTTCATGCTAACATAAAAGAAATATAACCTGATTATAAAAATAACCTTGGTCATTTCTCGGCAGTGTCATTTGTCCCATTTCCTTTTTATTTGTTTATCTGACTTTTAAAATACTCATGTCCCTTGGCAGTATGTCAGAGAAATCTCATGTCCCCCCGCAAGCATTTAGAAGGGCCCATTTCTATAAACAACCAAGTGGAAAAGTTTTTTCTTTTGCAGTTCTGTAGGAATCCACTTGGTACATAATGGGGAGGGAGAATAAAGGCTTTATGTATAGAAGTCATAGAATCATAGGGCTGGAAGGGACCCTGGAGATCTAGTTCAACATCCTGCCCAAGGCAAGAGACCTTAATTGCATCCCAGCTAAGTGGCTGTCCAATCATTTACATTTTCATCTGCCAAATATCCATTACATTTGAAGGTCTTCTTGATTGGGAGGTGCTGGAAACCCAGTATAATTGATCCCACTATCTGTAGGATAAATTTGGTGTTTGATAGTTTACAATGGGGTGCAGAAAAAGATAGCATTTCACATAATGCTCAGCATATGGCTTCTTACACAGACATGCAAACGTACATGGTGGTCTGTGATGTTTTAACGAGATTCTTAGGCTTATTCTGTAATTCAAATCTGAAACCATTGCCATTTTATTTAACAGAAACCAGAATCTATGACTTCCGACAAGCTTTTGTTTCCAACTCTGATTTCTGCAAACCCAAAATAGCATCCTCATCTTAAATTCAGACAAGTCGAGTCCATGGCTTCTGAGCACCATATGCAGTGGGGGGAATTTAAATTTTTTTTGCTACTGGTTGTGTGGGACTGACTTGGGCGTGGCATAGCTTGTTGGGCATGGCATGGCTTGGTGGGTATGGCAGGGGAAGGATACTGTAAAATCTCCATTCTCTCCCCACTCCAGGGGAAGGTTACTGCAAAATCCCCATTTCCTCCCGATCAGCTGGGACTCGGGAGGCAGAGAATAGATGGGAGTGGGGCCAGTCAGAGGTGGTATTTACCGGTTCGCCAAAACTATTCAAAATTTCTGCTGCCGGTTCTCCAAAACTGGTCAGAGCCTGCTGAATACCACCTCTGCAGTTGGGGATAACTTAGTAGCTCAATCATGCTTATTAGAATTATGAACGTACCTGCTCAATAACAGCAAATGTTTCTATAAATTCCCTAGACTGCCCTTTTTTAAAAAATTAATTCACCTACAAATGTTTTGTATGTGTGCGAGGAGACTCAACCATGTACCTGTAGTCTAGAGGGTAGTGTCTTTTCCTATTGAAATACATTCTTAAACATCCCACTCCACCCTACTCTGTTCGGATAGCCATTATATTGCAGATACAGTCAAGCCTCTAATTTCCCCATCCCAGCCTTCCCCAGACACATAGATACATGTTTAATGCTGTACAGTCTTCATCAGGGGGAGCAGTGTTAAATAAAATATGAGTCTTCAGAATGTATCTTTCTTCATGCCTTACTACAAAAACTGCAACATGACGGGGTGTCCAGGGGGCTGTATAGGCATTTTAATGATATTCATCTCCATTTTTATAAGTGATTTTTTTTCTCTGTTCTATCCCACATTTGAAAGAGACTAATTGGAAACTGTCAGACAAATGCACGGATGCGCACCCAGCATGTATTGAGAAGCCTTTCTTAAGCAGTAAGAAAGAAATAGAACTGAGAAAGAACCTGAAGTGGTACAACCCCCCCCCCCCCAAGAAACAGAATCTGAAGTGGAATGATATCTTTGGAATGAAATCTAGAGATGGAAAATATTGCTGGATGAACAGTGATAATGCTGGTTTCCTTGGAAAAATGTTTGTACTTTGTTTATGCCCTCGTCACCTCTAGGCTTGATTACTGCAATGCGCTCTACATGGGGCTGCCCCTGAAGAGTGTTCGGAGACTACAGTTGGTCCAGAATGTGGCTGCGCGAGCAATATCGGGTGTACCTAGATACACCCATGTTACACCTATCCTCCGCGAGCTGCACTGGCTTCCCATCGGTCTCCGAACTCGCTTCAAGGTGCTGGTTATTACCTTTAAAGCCCTACATGGCTTGGGACCTGGATATCTGCGGGACCGCCTCCTGCCACATACCTCCCAACGACCTATAAGATCTCACAGGCTGGGCCTCCTCCGGTGCCGTCGACCGGGCAATGCCGGTTGACAACCACTCGGGGGAGGGATTTCTCTGTAGCTGCTCCAGTCCTGTGGAGGACTGGAGATCCAGACCCTTCCCACTCTCTCGGCCTTCTGAAAAGCCACTAAAACCTGGCTGTTCCAGCAGGCCTGGGGCTGTTGACCCCAAAATGGGGTCCAGCCCCATCTAGAACTGAGTGTATGGTGTGTTGTTTTTAAATCTATCTTTTTCTTTTCCCTATATTTTAGTTTTTGACTTTATTTTTGTATTTGTAAGGAGTCCTACGGGATTGGGTGGCATATAAATTTTATTAAATTCAAAATTAAATTCAAATGTTTAGAGAAATACAGTAAGGTTGTTGATATCAGCAAACTCTTTAAATATGTGGTGTGTGTTTTTTTTTAAAAAAAGCAGTTACTGGCTACTACTAAACATGGCCCACAAGTATAATAATGACTGAATACAAGAAACTTTTAAAAAACATGTGGCAATGCAAGATGCAACATTCTATTTTACTATGCAGCGAAGTCAGTACGTGAATTTCCATTTATGTCTGAGAATAAACACTTTCCCATGAAAATGTATTGAATCCTGCTTCAAGATATAATATTTATGAAATTTTGTTTTTCAATTTAATTCCATCTTTTCTGCCCAATCCAATATTATGGTTCACTGTAGTCACCCAGATGTTCAGACTGGAATTGACATTATTATTCACCTATCAAGTTCTTCCCAAATGCCTGGGATAGGCAGATATGGACATTTGATGAAACTGAAGGTATTGTCGCAAGATGTAAGCTGTTCCAAGTAAAGCTGCCTTTTGCAAGTGACCAATGGTGATTTTATCACTGCCGATGGTGTTCAAATGGGGCTCTAGTTGTTTTGGGATTGCACCGAAGGCGCCTATTATTATTGGTACTACCATTGCTTTCTTTTGCCAGTCTTTCTATTTGCAGGGCTATGTGTTTTGTTATCATCTCTAGTTCTTTCTCTTCTGCTGTTTCCAGATTATTATTATCAAATAATTTCTCACCCATCTCAGATGGGTGAGATTGAAGCAACTCTGAGAAAGCAATACTCATAGAAAAATATGAGAAGTCAATATGTGATGGCCTCTGGAAGATTTTTAGTAAGGCTATCTGCAATGGGATCTTTTGATTCCAAGGATAACGAAATGAGAACAGTGCTGGGTCTATGGACAACCTATTTTTTCTCACAATGATCAGCTCTTTTCAGATGGTGGTCTTTTGAAATGTGAAACATTCGCCTCTTCAAAATTTACTCTGTAATTTCAGATATTATCCTTTATAGTTTCTAGATAAATGTT